TGTGTGAGTGCTGGATGATGTGTGTGGGGGGGGGGGGCCATCAGGGCTCGAGTCCTGCAGGAACGCATGGGAACGGCGTTCCTGCACTTTTTCCACAGCAGGAACGCCGTTCCCGTTACCTGTCCTGCAGGACCGGCCCTGCTACCTGCACAGAGGGGCCAGCACACGCTGTGTTCCCTCTCCAGCTATAACTCCAGCGCACTCACACACTGCATTCATTATACACACTCTTCACTCACTACAAACACACTACATTCACTATACACTCACTACAAACACACTACATTCACTATACACTCACTACAAACACACTACATTCACTATACACCCTCTGCATTCACTATACACACTCTGCATTCACTATACACACTCTGCATTCACTATACACATTCTGCACTCACTACACACTACATTCACTATACACACTCTGCATTCACTACAAACACACTACATACACTGCATTCATTGTACACACTCTGCACTCACTACAAACACACTAAATTCATTATACACAATTTGCACTTAAAGGACCACTCTAGGCACCCAGACCACTTCAGCTTAATGAATTGGTCTGGGTGCCAGGTCCTTCTAGGGTTAACCCATTTTTTCATAATTATAGCAGTTTCAGAGAAACTGCTATAATTATGAATGGGTTAAGCCTTCCCCCTAATCCTCTAGTGGCTGTCTCATTGACAGCCACTAGAAGCGCTTGCGTGCTTCTCACTGTGATTTTCACAGTGAGAGCACGCAAGCGTCCATAGGAAAGCATTGTAAATGCTTTCCTATGCGACGGGCTGAATGCGCGCGCAGCTCTTGCCGCGCGTGCGCATTCAGCCCAGGAGAAGGAACGGAGGAGGAGAGGAGGCAGAGAGCTCCCCGCCCAGCGCTGGAAAAAGGTAAGTTTTTAACCCTTTCCCCTTTCCAGAGCCGGGCGGGAGGGGGTCCCTGAGGGTGGGGGCACCCTCAGGGCACTATAGTGCCAGGAAAACGAGTATGTTTTCCTGGCACTATAGTGGTCCTTTAACTACAAACACATTACATTCATTATACACACACTGCACTCACTACAAATACACTACAATTATTATTCACACTGCACTCACTACAAACACACTACATTTATTATTCATACTCTGCATTCACTACAAACACACTACATTCATTATACACACCCTGCACTGCACTATATGCATAGGAGTGTATTTTTTTATTTATTTATTTTTTAAGGGGGGGGGGGGCGGGAATCTTGGGTGAGTTCCCACACTTTTTTCCCCAGGACTTGACCCCTGATTACACATTTATACTCTGTATTACAGATACATTATATCAGCTTGGGAGATTTACAGTTTTTTTTTTTTTATAACATAGGTATTTATCCACATAGCTGGTACATAGTTGCTAAGAGACACTCTACAGACTGCTTACACTTTGAACTTTTATGAACTATAGATTTTTTTGGTATCATTTTATATTTTGGACACTATACTCTCTAAGTTTCCTCTTTACAGTCCTAGGACATTATCCATTATATTTTCTGTTTCACCCTACTCAATAATTAGTTCATGTGCCCCCTTTTCGCCGGTTAGGGGTAGCACTTTTCATGAGTAAACCAACGGTGGATCTGCTATCAAAACTTATATACCATCAAATACAGCTATAAATATTCTCCTTTTTGCATTTTCACTAGCTATCACCTGGTACATTTAGGATTTTTATTAATTCTTCCTGCTTCAGCTAATATGGGAATTTAACTATACCAGTTGAGATTATTTATGTATTTGCACCACATTTGTGTTATTTTACACTAATTGTAGGGGGAACTACCCCACTAAGTTTAACTCTGTATTTACTACTTTTCCACTCTACAAGGTCAGTTTTTTACTGTCTACATATCATCTTGCACAATTTACATTAACCCCTGTCATTGTCTGCTTCGTAAGCTCCACTGGATGTTGCCATCTAGCTACCTAGTTCCAGAACCTATGATGCCAAGTACGAGTACGGAAACTCTCACACTTGCCATCGCGGCAAAGATTTATCACCGTAATATTCCCAATATGAATTAAAAATAAGGTAAGTGGCTGCTGTTCTTTTGTATTAGCAGCCTCATTCCCCGTCAGGAACAAAATTTCATAGACAGAATATGCAAGTAGTTATGTTTCAAAAAGCTTTATTATGTATTATTATTGGAGTGTAATAAATGTTCCACTGTGTGTTGCATGTGGAAAATGGAAGGATAAATACTAGTTTTTAGTGGAAAAATGAAAATAATTACATTTGTATGTGCAGATAAAGAGGAAAAAATAAAGACATTTTTTTTCATTTAAACAAAGGGATTTCTTCGGTAAACTCTGAATGATATATTTTAGCACAAAATAGCTGGAAATTTACACCCAGTAAATTTTCCAACTTCTCATACAATATAACCCAAGACAATAGCTGTGACAAAGTTGGTGTGTGTGTAGATTATATTAATTCCAGTGAGATCTGCGGACCCTATAATGGTTTAATAATGTGGGGCCACTATGTAGAGACATTTCATCTCTCCATTATAGCCCTTGCTACCAAAAGCATAATTGAACAGTAATTATTGAATGATGCCCCTTTTGTAGCAGAAGATAATTATGGTATTAATGGCAGCTGAGCACAAAGCCAGCCGATCACCAGGGTACATGCACATGCGTGACATCCCACAATGCACAAACACTTGGAGGTGAAGAAAATTATTTAGAGGATCTTTTTATTTATTTAATTGTACATCTGCTAGAACCATGCATAGATTTCAAGAATACCAACCCGAGGGTGAACCGGTCATCCACACATTTTGTTTACATTTTAAACTGATTTAAAGTCACCATGGCGCGCACATTAAAATCGGGCCTGAGATTAAAATAAATCACTAGCCCCAAAAGAACCAGTCTTAACACTTACAGAGGGTGTGTTACAGTTTTCATCCTACACCTGACTGTAACGGAATACTCACGGAATATAATCATAAAGTGCTCCCATGTCAGATGTGACATAAAACGAACAGCACTCCACAATCAGGTGTAGTACAACACACCCCAATCAGGTGTAGTAATACTACAGCACTCCACAGTCAGGTGCAACATTAATACCAGAATTGCATATAACATGGTCATGTGACGCATCAATACCAAAACAAGTTACCCAATAATCTGGGGTATAAACACTGTAAATGTGATGATGTTACCAGCTGGATAAACTTTCATACAGGATTGGAAGAGATGTTGAGATCAGGTGAATACTGGAATAATGTACGGCTGAAAGCAGTGTTATTAATGCAAGAAGGTGTAGTATTGAAATACCGCCTGCAGCCTGATTTACTATCAGTAGTAGAAGAAGGGGTGAAAGGCAGGCAGTCTAGAGTTAGTACTGGAGGAATAACGTGTGATGCAGGCAGGTCTAGTATTAGCCCTAGAGGAATAATGTGTGATGCAGACATGTCTACTGTGAGCCCTAGAGGAGTAATGTGTGATGCAGGCAGGTCTAGTGTTAGCCCTGAAAGAATAACGTGTGATGCAGGCAGGTCTAGTGTTATTCATGAAAGAGTAACGTGTGATGCAGGCAGTTCTAGTGTTATTCATGAAAGAGTAACGTGTGATACAGGCAGATCTAGTGTTAGCCCTGAAAGAGTAACGTGTGATGCAGGCAAGTCTAGTCTTAGCCCTGGAAGAATAATGTGTGATGCAGGTAGGTCTAGTTTTAGTCCTGGAAGAATAATGTGTGATGCAGGTAGGTCTAGTGTTAGTACTAGAATAGCGTTGAATTAAGCTACAAAAATCTCAGTAATCTCGGTAATGGTACAGATTGTTTATTATATACAGTTTACTCCTTCGTTTGAATCACTATATAATAAATACATTTCATGGCTACAGGACAAAACACAGAAACACGAGGAGCATTAACCATGGCAGTGCCAGAGGGTCTGAGTCTCATCCACCCAAAAAGACCATTTGTGGCAGCATTTAACCACTTAAAACAAAAAGAAAATGAGGACGTCGGGGGGAGGGGGGTAAGAAGGGGAGGGGACACACACCTCAGAGTGCGCAGCAGCACCGTCTACACCTCTCTACAAAGGACAATGTGGATATCACCCGGGCAGGAAAACAATGCCACAGGGCAAGGAATGATATCAATGGGTGGGAGAGGAGATTCATGCACCTGTCTATCTACATCAGGGAAATGTAGTGTCACAGGCTGGGAATAAGGGAAGATACAGCCATAGTAGGGAAAAAGAATTACCTGTGTAGATATAGAGGGTAAAAACAGGATGCAGAAAACACAGAAAGGCTTGGTATGGAAAGGCAGGGATACATGCGGGGTTCACTGGTAAGACAGCTGTAAACAATGGGGGGGAGGGGTTGCAGAGAGTGAGAGGAGATGCCACTCTGACAGCATATCACATGATCACCGCCGTTTCCAACGCAGCCCAATAATGAGGAAACATCACAATGACACGGAACGGAGCTGCTGCTGTCTGTTGGCGGGAAGGGAGTGTGCCGCTCTCCAGAAGAAAGAAGGGAAGTGTCTTGCATCAGCGTTTAAAACTGAACCCAGCTAGAGGACTGCGGGCCTTGAGAGGACAGACTGCTGGGAAAGGAGAAGGACATACATGCTACATGAAAGAGAGAGATCACAGACGGGAGAAACAATTGAGAGTAGGGGAGATCATAGTATAAAGGGGGAAACAGATATTAGTCATTGACTGGGCAAAATGTTATGTAGCTGTAGGATGCCAACAGTTTCTGTCAGATCTCTGACTAACTTTTTATAGCCTGGACAAATAAAGCCCATTTCTACAGGAGAAATCAATCACTTTTAGAATAATTTACCCAGATCGGGTACTTTGCTTACTTTCAATCAGCCTTCTCACCTGCCTGCAGTATTGAAATCACCCCACAGGTCCGATGATGTGGCTGAGACTGTATTGGGTGCTTGGGCCGGCGAGCCCAGATCTAGTAGAATGTCTGAAAAGATAAGAGTTGTAATATGTAACATCAGATCAGAGGACTATAGCGTCACATGAGGAAGCATTAATGCCAGATACATTTAGAAACATACTTTAATGCAAAAATACATTGAAATTTATACAAATCGAATGTGTCAACAACAGCATTTAGTCCAAAACAATGTTATAGAATGGAACAGAAAGGAAGCTCACATTAAAAATAAACAAGTGCTAGACAATATAATATATCTGGATCTCAGCCACACTGTTAAACCTTTTTATTGGAGTATCCTACGGATAACAGTTGAGTACAGAGAAAACAAAGTTCACCTTTGTATTTGTCATGTGTATAAAGTTCATTCAAAGTGTCCTGTAGGTTAAAGTGGAGGAAGAACAAGAATTCAGTTTGCAAACATACAGTTCACTTATAGGCCATAGGTAACTTTATGTTCTTTTAACTTCAAACATTTAAAAATAATCAAAATTATGAAAAGAAGAAGAAACAAACAAAAAGGACAAATAGACAACCACTCTGTCCACTCGGATATATGAACAATTTTGAAAATACAGTATGTGAACATTGTACGCATGAAAAATTATTTATAAACAACGGGTCCAATTAGTATGTTGTTATGTTATTAAATTTAGATACTTGCTAATTTTCAAGCTTTGCTCTTTCGGGCTAAAATTTCCAGAAGATTTGGAGAATGCTTACAGTTCGTTTATCTTTAAATGTACATTTCCACACAATTCCTGGTTTACAGAATTTATTTCTGGGTTTGGATCATTTTAAGAACCTACATAGTCCTCACTTAGATGCAAAATAATGCATCTATGGAGAGTCTACACTTGGGATGTGAAAAGGTAGATATTTCTAGCTGCTGTAGAACAACAACTCCAATGATGCTTTTCCAACTTTAACACTGCCAATTTCATTTTTTCCCATCCATGATCTTTGCAGTTTACTTTCTTCATTATATAGAGAAGCTGTGTGACTTTTTGAGTTTCAACTCAAAGTGCACTGCTCATGTATACTTTCAACTTTGTTGCTTTTTCAAACCGCAATGTATTAAAACGTTATGTGTAACCTTAGTGGACTGTATATTACAATACAAATCGTTTTTCCACTGCCTATTATAAAATCAAAAACACTAATACATGGGTGCCCAAAAGGTAGATCCCCAGATAGTTTAACACTACAGCTTCCATGATGCTTTACCCTTCAAAAAGGCATGTAAAGCTTCATTGGAGTTATAGTTCTACAATATGTGGGGATCTACCTTTTGGGCTCCCCTGCTCTAATACTTAAAACATGTGTCAGCCTTCCAAGAGGCATTACCTATGACCTGTTACACTGAAAATTATATAAACGAAAACAGGAATAAGGCTCAAATCTGTAGGAAATTAAAAAAAAAAATCACAATAGTATAACACTGCAGACAAATATGAATGCTATAGGGTTCCTCCCCCGATAATTTGGGGATCTGAGCTGCTCACTCCCACAGGTGCAGGACAAATGAGGAGAGACTGAGGGGACTTTGGCAGGAGGGTATTTATACCATTTGTGGATTTAATATGGTTTTTAAAGCTAGATTTTTATCTGCAGTGCACTAGAGGTGGAGTTAACCCTGCAAGGTAATTACTGCAGTTTATAAAACAACTGCAATAATTACAGTTGCAGGGTTAAGGGTAGTGGGAGTTGGCACCCAGACCACTCCAATGGGCAGAAGGGGTCTGGGTGCCTGGAGTGTCCCTTTAACAGTGTTATACTAATGTGATTTTTATTTCTCACAGATTTTCGCTTGCTTTATTTGTACATTTTGTATTGTGTATTGCAAAGGGATCTTTTTGACTCACTCTACTTCCACCTACAAGACACCGTACAGACTTTATACGTATGCAAAAAGTACTTATGTCATCTCTTTATAATTTACCTTTTGTCGCCAATATCAACCTGTAGATTAGATTGATAATAACTTGTATGTATTTAACTTGAATATGTGTTGATAACTTTTGTAGTGTTGCTTATATATACACTGCTTAGGCTGTGGATACATATTTGAGCAAATGTTTAATATCTTTGACATAAAAATACTCTAGTGAGCTCATTGGTGTACATGGACTGGCATGTAATTATGTATTAGAGACAGCACATATTGTATATTTTGAAGCATTTTTATCTTAAAAGAAAATACATCTTTTTTTCCAACTTTACCCTGCATTATGTTTCTTTGTGAGTAATTTCATATTTATTATTGTTTGGGGGGGAGGGGAGATGAAGGGTGATCAGAGGTGGTTATTAATTTTATCTGTTTTGTTATACATAAAATGTTTGTTTTTTTAAATTATTGTATGAGTGATTAACCCATTCTAGATAATGATATTGACTACTCACTGCACAGAATAAATAGCTCAGGCCGAAATATGTCAACATACCAACAGGTGGCACTGTGTAATATGTTTATCTATAGGAGCTACTGAAATTGGAGTTAAATAAACACTCTCACCCTCGAAACAACTGAAAGGAACACTAACATTAGGGATACAAACATATATTATGAATGTTAACTAGCTATATGGATTAGAACCTCCCTCCTCCAAGCCATTAAGTAAAGAAATGTACTTACCTTATGGCTCCAGGCACACCTGTCTAGCCGCAGTCCCTCCTTAGGCTGAGATCATCAGTACAGGTGATCTCAGGTAATTCCTTGCTTAGCATACGTGGCAATCAGCATCTCATTTTAGAGATGCATTGACTTAATGGATGCCAATGTGGAGCCTTTAGTTTAGTAACAAAACGAGCCACAGTTATGAGAGAGAAGCATTGGTTGGTGCAGTAACCACAAGTGTGGGAATCGGTCAAAAGCAAGTTGGAAAAATGAACAGGTGCAGGCAGATGGTTCAGTAAGGGGATGAGAAGGAATGTTCACCTTTGTTGACTAGATGTTAGGTTTCCATGGTTTAACTCCTTAAGGACCAAACTTCTGGAATAAAAGGGAATCATGACATGTCATACATGTCATGTGTCCTTAAAGGACCACTCTAGGCACCCAGACCACTTCAGCTTAATGAAGTGGTCTGGGTGCCAGGTCCTTCTAGGGTTAACCCATTTTTTTATAAACATAGCAGTTTCAGAGAAACTGCTATGTTTATTAATGGGTTAAGCCTTCCCCTAATCCTCTAGTGGCTGTCTCATTGACAGCCACTAGAGGCGCTTGCGTGCTTCTCGCTGTGATTTTCACAGTGAGAGCACGCCAGCGTCCATAGGAAAGCATTATGAATGCTTTCCTATGCGACTGGCTGAATGCGCGCGCAGCTCTTGCCGCGCGTGCGCATTCAGCCGACGGGGCGGAACAGAGGAGGAGAGAAGGAGGAGAGCTCTCCGCCCAGCGCTGGAAAAAAGTAAGTTTAAACCCCTTTCCCCCTTCCAGAGCCAGGCGGGAGGGGGACCCTGAGGGTGTGGGCACCCTCAGGGCACTATAGTGCCAGGAAAACGAGTATGTTTTCCTGGCACTATAGTGGTCCTTTAAGGGGTAGAGACCTGGACTAAATTAAGTACAAATTGGATAAAAGGTGATAATTTCCAGACTAACAAGGCTAAAGATGGAAGTTACCTGGGCTTGGTGAGGTATTTCCAGGCTGCAAAGGCGGAGGAGTGACATGATTTGCAACAGGTACTGAATGAGAGACAGGAACAGGGGGTACTGAGATTTTACCCCCAGGAGGAGGAGGGAGCAGTCCAACACCCCCAGCTCCAGTGTTTCCCCGAGGTTTGCAGGAGCCATCCTTCTTCTTTATATTCTAAACAGAAAAATCAAAATGGTAAACACAGGGAATTGCAATAAGTAAACTGTAATAAACGGCAACAAAAAAAGGGGAAAGGGAGAAAAAAGGGAGGGAAGTACAAGATGTTCACACTGCAAACAAAATATTATATTTTATTATAACATGGTCAAATACATAAAACAAATACAGATACAAGTCGGGCGCTTCAATACTTAATAATAAATCTATGCAGAGAAGGGTGAAAAAAGGTGTTGCTCCGACACCTTGATACAAATAGAAAAATAGCAACAACAACAAAGTGTAGAAAACAAAGAGTGAGAGTGTACCCTTCAAGCAAGATATAAATATAAAATAAGTAAATACTTATGCATATACATGAATGGCAGGATGGTCATAAACAATACCTAAAAAAACAATAACACAAAACATAGTGTGTACTGCCAAAATACATGTGAGTGTAGATTAATAATTGGTTCAACTCACAGATTCCAGAGCTGTGCCAGGCTCTGTTTAGGCACCCAAGGGTGCCTAAACAGGCTAAAACGAATGACCATGGACCACTGGAATCAGATGGATCACGGAAATAGGAGGAGCCACAGCAGCAAATTAGTTGATCAAATAATAAATTTATTCAGTATAAAACAGGCTTACAAAAAAAGCAGAGAACAGGCGCTTTTCGACTTAATTGTCTCTATCAATGTCTCTATATGTTTCCTGTATGCTGCTGTTTAAATATTGTCTAAAATTGCCGCGAAAATCTTCATCTGTGCGGTCCGGTGTGGCGGGTGATGTCACTTCCGGTGCGCAAAGTCCATGCAGCATATCCGGTCCGGCAAAGATGACGTAATTTCCTCTAATCTTGGGTATCTATAGTTTATAAGAATCGGTCGCCATCTTAGGTGAGGGCAACATGCCCTTATGCACATATATATATATATATATATATATATATATATATATATATATCTATATCATTTAACCATAAAATTATAAAAAAGAATAAAAAAAAACAGAAAACAAATGAAGGTATAACCCCATATTTCTGTAAGAGATAAAACACAGTAAGGATGCATCCAAAAATAAAATACATGTTAGTATATTGGCAATCCGAATGTTACTATGGTCATTCCATCGTAGATAACAGATGTATAGGTATTATAAAACATACCATACAATTATGGATGGCAAGCCAATAATATATATATATATATATATATATATACACACACAGACACACACACACACACTATATATATATATATATATATATATATATATATATATATATATATATATCAATCAGGAACATAATCAAAAGTGCAAACATAAAAATAAAGCAAATTGCAATAAGTTCCAGATATAACCAGTGTGGAAGTAGCTGACTATAACAGAATGTGACCAAAATGAGGGGAAGGAATGGATATCAAGCAAGGTGGAGGTAAAAAATATAAAAATACGGGGAATGGTGTTCCCCTCTAAAAGGCAGGTCCAACATAAGTCTACTAAGATCACTAGGCCTAAGAAACTGAGAAATGAGGCCTGATCAAGACTGGTGGGGATGGGGGGGGATGGTGGGGGGGAGGGAGCTAATACGGCAGGGGGGGGGTGGAGAGAGGGGGAAACCTAGGAATAAAACCCTACAAATATTGTTGGCCATAAGGCTTAGGGGCCTTACAAAACCTGTTATACCGTGTCTTTTGATATGATTTGACCTGTCTTGTAACCTTACTACATACAAATAAAGAATGTCAAAAAAAAAAATATATAAAAATAAATGTAATAATGAAAAAAAAAAAAAATATATATATATATATATATATATATATAAAAATAATGTAGATATATACATTATTGATCTTCCTATAGCAAAAAAAATTAAAAGATAAAAAGATAAAAATACAAATACATTAAAATTATAAATAATGAACGAGTTCAAAATCTAAGTTCAAACCTGAAGGGGCTAAAGTTTCTAAATCAAAAATCCATCTTCCCTCCACCTTACTTAGGTCTTTAAAGTTGTTTTCTCCTCTCCACGTTCCTCTTCCTGTGGTATATAACCATATAACTGAGTAACGCTGGGTTCCCATTATGATGTTCAGAAAAATGTGAGAAAACACTATGACTGGTGTATCTCCTCTGGATATTACCCATGTGTTCCCTTATGCGGGTTTTGAAAGGTCTAGTGGTCATACCCACATATTGTAGACCACACAGGCACCAGAGGAGATACACCACATTAGAGGAATGGCATGTTAAAACGGACTTAATCTTATATTGTTTATTGGTGGATTTAGATGTAAAAAATTCTACTTTTCTCTTAGGGAATGTTTTTTTGCACGCCATACACATCTTACAGGGGTAAAAATCTGTTTGTTGGGAGAAGAGATTAGTAATGGATGAGGAATTAATGGGATTTTTAACCAAAAGATTCAGTAAATTCCTAGTACCGCTATAAACAATTTTAGGCTTGGTTTTGATGATACCTCGAAGATCTTCATCGGTCGAAAGTATGTGCCAATATTTATTAATGATAGTTTTAATTTTATTTGCTTCACTGCTATAGTTCAAGATAAGGAGAGGTTCCTCTTCTCCATTGTTTTCTAGGGTTTTTTTAGTTTTATATTCCAGAACTGTATTTCTAGGGACCTGTTAAATTTCTTGAATTTGCTGATCCAAGAATGAAGAGCTATAATTTTTCTCAATTAAAATTATTTTAATTTTTCTGCTTGGACACTAAATTGTTCCGGATCACTACAGTTTCTTAGGACTCTGAGAAATTGTCCCTTTGGCACATTTCGAGGCCAGGGATCATAGTGGCAACTAGTGGTGTTAATATAACTGTTGACATCCACTGGCTTGAAATGTCACATTATGTTATAGTCAGCTACTTTCACACTGTTTATATCTGGAACTTATTGCAATTTGCTTTATTTTTATGTTTGCACTTTTGATTATGTTCCTGATTGATAGATATAGATATAGATATAGATATATATATATATATATATATTTTATTGGCTTGCCATCCATAATTGTATGGTATGTTTTATAATATCTATACATCTGTTATCTATGATGGTATGACCATAGTAACATTCGGATTGCCAATATACTAACATGTATTTTATTTTTGGATGCATCCTTACTGTGTTTTATCTCTTACAGAAATATGGGGTTATACCTTTTGTTTTCTGTTTTTTTATTCTTTTCTGTATAATTTTATGGTTAAATGAGATATATATATATATATATATATATATATATATATATATATATATATGTGCATAAGGGCATGTTGCCCTCACCTAAGATGGTGACCGATTCTTATTTTTTCGTGACAATTTTAGACGATATTTAAACAGCAGCATACAGGATACATAGAGACATTGATAAAGAGAATTAAGTCAAAACGCGTCTCTGCTTTTTTGTAAGCCTATTTTATACTGAATACATTTATTATTTGATCCACTCATTTGCTGCTGTGGCTCCTCCTATCTCCGTGATCCATCTGATTCCAGTGGTCCATGGTTATTCGTTTTAGCCTGTTTAGGCACCCTTGGGCTTTCTATACAGAGCCTGGCACAGCTCTGGAATCTGTGAGTTGAACCAATTATTCATCTACCCTCACTTGTATTTTGGCAGTACACACTATGTTTTGTGTTATTGTTTATGACCATCCTGCCATTCATGTATATGCATAAGTATTTCATTATTTTATATTTATATCTTGCTTGAAGGGTACACTCTCACTCTGTGTTTTCTACACTTTGTTGTTGGTGCTATTTTTCCATGGTCAAATACATACCCCAATATTCAGCTTGATTGTCTGGCCTTCTTTAAACCCTAAGTCCAGCTTAGGGTGATTGTCTTGCCCCTGAGGTTCCTTAGACATGTCAGACTCCTGCTTTACCCACCTGTAGCAGGAAAAGATTTCATAGATAATTGCACTGGTTGATTTGATTATGGGACATGCTGAGTTTCATCCTTGAGAAGTGGTACACCAAACTTACTTGAAATGGTCCTGAAGAGAAACATTGAAGTCAAAGGCATCTCCCCGATCAGCAAATCCAATGCCAATAAATGCACTTCTCCCTAAAATTTTAATTATAAATCCCATTCTTAATACACTAATTAAAGGATAATTCTTCGTAGAAAAACAAAAAATAAAGTCACAATCCCCCAAAATGTCATGCTTAGTTACTTATACTTTCTAATACAGATTGCTATATTATAGCCAAGAGCTCTGTTCAATTAGAGATTGCAGGAACACTCCTGTCGACACAAAGTGCATTTTGTGCATGAAGGTTTTGGCTTCATATTTAAGCTGTATTTTTCTTTATATTCAAATCCTACCTCTTAGCCATGCCTCTCCTCCCCCCCATTCCTCCCCCCCCAAAAAAAAAAATCTTACTTATTGCAAAGTACAGCCAATAAAAGATTAGCACTCTGAGCTGCTTACTTGACTCTGGTCCATAGCCAATCACTATTCCCTTATTTTACTATTTCAAAGCTTTTATTTTTTGTAGCAAAACTAAGAGATTTGGACTGAAGTAAAATACACTGTGTTCATGATGCCAAAATCTATGAAATGCACTTAAATTGTGTTAGTGCCCAAGTGTTTCCTTAACTTAGCAAGAATGAGACCAATACCCATTAAATAACTAAACCCTCCAATTATATTTTCATCCAGTCCTACCAATATCATGCTATATCTGGTATCGCAGTGACTCACCATTTCCATCCTGAATCCTGATTACAAAGTAACGGCTCGAATCAGTCACTGTTTCCACTGCGAGTCCAGGAAACTGATCCACTGGTGCTTGAGCGAAGAGTTCACCTGACAGATTGGGAATAATACCAAACATTAGAAAGCCAAAGTAGGGGCAGCAGGACGTGTTCAGGTACAGTTTTGTGTCTGTCAAAGTTGACTGGTCAAAGAAAAGCACTATATAGAATGTGTCCTGCTGTACCAGATAAATGATGTGGAAAGCATTGGGAGCAATAGATTGGGCCTTGTGCTACAAAGATGGAATCAGTAGGTTCTAAAGGACTAGATTACTCAGGAATTCTAAATGTTTTGCAAGACCATTCCAATTCCAGTGTTCTAACTAATCATCTATTTGCTTTCAGCGTATAAGGATGTACTGAACAAGTGCATGCACCTTAACAAGCAAGAGTCCCTCGTGCATGTGTTATACACTTTAAGTAGCTTCCATTTAACTTGCATTGGTCAACACTGCACATGTGCTTTAAAAACCATCTCATAACTTAACGTTGTAAGTGGAAGTAATGTGGGTGGATCATTTCGAGCAAAAAAACAACAACAAAAAAACAAAAACACAAATCATTTGTAGTAATAGGCTGTCATGCATTTTCAATGAGATAGGTTATCGCAGTTTACTTGCGTATTACACGGATTTGTGACTTTTTATATGGTCACAAATGATGTATGTGGCACTAGCTTGGCAAACTAACCAAAAAAAGCTCAGCGAACAATTCTTCCAACGTAATAATGTTAACATTATAATACATTTTGGAAAACATCTAACTCTGAATCATCCTAGTATAAACAAACTGAGGAAAGCAATTTCACTTTAGTAAACAATTTGTTGTGTGGACTATTGACTGGTACTTGATGAATACAATGTGTTTTATCTAACAAACTAAAATGACATAGGGTATGGTTTTCAGGTCAATCCAGGCGTTAATAAACACTTTTGTGCTTACAAAGTGTTGGCAGCGTAATAGATTCAGTCAGTCTGTACAGACACTAAAGAACCAACCGTAAATCTTAAAATCACTAAACTGCAAGCAATTGTAAAGATTTTGAAGAAAAAAAATGGTTTAAAGTTTGCTAGTCAACACGGTTATATCCAGGGCCGGACTGGGGATTCCAAAGCAGCCCTGGAAAAAAAAAAATCAATGCCAGCCCCATAAGTCATTGCGCCATATATTGTCGCATGTAATATGTAAGGCTATGTCTTGCCACCCTAGATGATTGAGATTATATATATATATATATATATCAATCTTTTTTCCAATATAAAATATTGGTCCTTTCAGAGTAAAATTTTTAATTCTACAGTAAGCATACTCACATGCAGACACAGACCATCTCACTGACACAAGATGATTGATACACAGCCTCATAAACAAACAATCTCACTGATATACATAAGGTCATTGACATAAAAACACAAGCTCACTCAGTAGCAGGCACACACACACACACACAAGCAAGCCCACTCACTAGCAGGCGCGCACACACACATAGCTTAATGTAGTGGCTCTGGTGTCTATAGCCTGTCCCTGCAGGCTTTTCAATGTAAACACTGACTTTTTAGAGAAAAGGCAGTGTTTACATTGCTTCCTAGTGACAGACACTCAGACAGTCACTAGAGGTGCTTCCTGTGTCAGTGCGGATTGGCTGAGATCATCAAGCTTGATGATCTCAGTCGTAGAGGCAGGGCCAGTCGAGGAGAGACCAGCATGATGTGGGGGGGAAAAAAGGTGAGTAGAGATGTCGCGAACTGTCCGCCGAACTGTTCGCGAACTGTCCGCCGGCGAACAATAGCGTGTTCGCGTTGGGCGAACATATCCGATTTCCAGTCCGCCCCCTATACGTCATCATTGAGTAAACTTTGACCCGGAACCTCACAGTCAGCAGACACTTCCTGGGAGGGAGGATCTGCTGATGATTGGGTGGAATGTGTCTGCTGGCTGTGAGGTTCCGGGTCAAAGTTTACTCAATGATGACGTATAGGGGGCGGACCGGAAATCGGATATGTTCGCCCAACGCGAACACGCTATTGTTCGCCAGCGGACAGTTCGCGAACAGTTCGGCGGACAGTTCGCGAACAGTTCGGCGGACAGTTCGCGACATCTCTAAAGGTGAGTAAAAACACACATACCATGACAGACACACACCATGACACAGACAGAAACACACACACACCATGACACAGACACACACATACCATGACAGACAGACCATGACACAGACACACACACGACACAGACACACACCATGACACACACACACCACGACACAGAGAGACCGTGACACAGACAGACACACATTACATGACACAGACAGACACACACCATGACATCCAGACACACACACACCATGACAAACACACACACACCGTGACACAGACAGACCGTGACACAGACAGACACACACACACCATGACACAGACACACATGGCATGACACAGACAGACACACACACCCACCATGACACAGAGACACACACACACCATGACAGAGACACACACACACACCATGACACACACACCATAACACAGAGACACACATACACCATGACACACACACAAATGACACAGACACACACAAATACACTCACACTGACACACACAATTTCTACCTGTGGGGAGCTCTGATGGCGGCCGCATGGGGGAGCTGGCTCTTCTGGCGGCCGCAGAGGGAGCTCCTTTGGCGGCCGCAGGGGGAGCTGGCTGTTCTGTCTATGCTCCCCCTCCCCAGTGCACTGCTTAATGAGACCGGGGCCGGAATATGACATCATATTCCGCCCCCGGTCTCATTAAGCGGCGCGCTGGGGAGGGGGAGCAGAGACATAGCCAGCTCCCCCTGCGGCCGCCAAAGGAGCTCCCTCTGCGGCCGCAGGTGAGCCAGCTGCCTGCCCGGCCCCAGGTGCCGACGGCCCACCGTTGGGCCAGTCCGGCCCTGTACATTTTTATTATATTATTTGAAACACAAGCTGTAATTTGCGCAAGTTGTCACATGTAGATGTTACATATTGGAGAGGAGTTCAAAAAAATACAAATGCCTTTTTTTCTATTTTCTTTTTGTGTGTGTGTGTGTGTGTGTGTGTGTTTGCTTGTGACTCTGCAGACAATGAACAGTAGTAAAATTCTACAGGTTTTACTCGCTAAAGAGGATAATACAGGCTGACAAGGGAGATGCAAATTTTAGGCCAAAATTTGGAGACTTTTTCCACACTTATTACTTAGGGGCAAATTTTGCAATTTCCTTGGTATCGTTTCACAATACCCACTTTAGTGATGTACGCCATAATGTCACACACTATAAACACTGTGCAACAGAGCATGTCTACACAGGTTTAGAAATAAAATAGTGATTCAAATATTAGATCTTAATGTCATGCAGGGAAGTAGCACAGAGGAAGTTTTAGGAGTCAGAGGAGGGACCTGCCGAATAACTGGAAAAGTGGGAACATGATTCAGCTCTTCAAGTTGATATGAATCAGCTGTCACAGGGCATTCATGTAAACTGCTATGGCAACAAATACCTGACACTTTGTCCTCCAGTTTAATAAAAGCTACTTTCCCCTTGGAGGTAAGCCGCATTCTCCCAGTCCAGTCTGGCTGGTCCAGTTTCCAGTCTGAAGCCCTGGAGGGAAAATAAGCCCATTGTCAGATAAAATCACTTCTTCACTTTTCATCCAGACAAGGGGAGAGTAATTAGCAGTGAGACAGCATTTGCCACTCATTAAGAAGTCAGCAGGGACAGGAGCTGGATTACCCCTATCAATTGTACATGTCTATATAGCTGGATGTCTGTCTGTCTCTCAGTCTGTGACACTGGCTGTCTATATGGCTGCATGTGTGTGTATAATATATATCAATGCTATATAATAATAAATCAATGTACATACCAGTTAAATGGTTGCTTGCATGCCCCAGTCATAACGTGTAACTAAATAAAATTATTTATTATTATTTTAACAGATATATATATATATATATATATACACACACACACACACACACACACACACATATATATATACACACATACACACAGTTTAAACTCTGTAAAAACATCACTACCTATTACCAGCTATAAGGAAACATTTCCAGTCAAGAGGGGACGATTTGAAGCTGTTGGTTTGTCTGTCCATGGGGCTGTCAGTCTGTCAGTCAGGCTATCTACTCCAACCAGAAAATAAAAAAGTTAGGTCGCGCCACAGCAAAAACAATAATATAATATAATGATGTAAAACCAAAGGTATACTTACATACAAAAAGTCTTAAATGAGAAGTAGAATAGTCCTGGTTAAAAGACATATAGCTAAAAAGTCCAACTTGACTGGGGAACTTGGGTGAGATATGGATCTGTTCGTCTTTTCTATCCCTTTTTATTTTGTATTCTGATAGTTATTTTCTCTATTTATTTTTGACTGTGTTCAGAGCTGCATCTAATTTTTCTAAAGGGTAATTTTTCCTCAATTAACTTATTCTTTAATGAGGTAGATTGGGTTAAAAAATCATTAATTTGAGAGGAGTTACGATAATGACGAAGGACTTGACTTTTAGGGATACCGTCTAACCAAGCTTTGTAGTGGCAACTAGATTGGTCTATTATGGTGTTTGTGCACACTTTTTGGGGGGGATCAACGCCACTGACCTGAGCTTGTACTAGCTCTCTAAAAGGTGAGTAGCAGTATCACCACTGCTGTTAAGCTCCTCTGTTTTATGACCTGATACAGATTACACTATTGGAGTTTCTTTTCATATGCATGTTTCAACGGAACCCGAATATCCGACTACCTCAGAATCTTTACGACGAACAGATCCATATCTCACCCAAGTTTATCAGTCAAGTTGGACTTTTTAGCTATAGGTCTTTTTACCAGGACATTTCTATTTCCCATTTATGACTTTTTGTATGTAAGTATACCTTTGCTTTTACATCATTATATTATTGTTTTTACTGTGGCGCGACCTAACTTATTTTCTGTACTCTATTCTCTTTGAAGGTCTGTGAGGGAACATCATCCCCTTAGGTTGCAGCCTACCCTCAATATATCTTAAGCTTCCAACTGACCACTGTTTGTCTATCCACTCCAACCAGCCTGTCCATGAGACTTGCTGTCTATGTGGCTGGATGTCTGTATGTTAGACTGGCTCTGTTTGCAGCTGGATGTCTGTCTGTCCGTGACATTGGCCTCCTATGTAGCTGGATGTTTAACTGTGAGACTGGCTGCTTACGTGGTTGGAAGTCTGTTGGTGAAATTGGCTGTCTATCAGAAAAACTGGATTGCTCTCTCTGAGATTGGCGGTCTGTGAGGCTGGCTGCCTGTCTGTCTGCGAGACTGAATGTTTATGTGGCCAGATGTTTGTCTGTCTGCCTATGTGGCTGGATGTCTTTCCGTCTGTCCGTGACTCTCGCCTCCTATGTAGCTGAATGCCTGTCTGTGAGACTGGCTGTCTGTATGTGGGACTGGCCTCCAGTGTGGCTGAATGTCTTTCTACGTGGCTGGCTGGCTGTCAGTCAGGCTGACAGTCAACGTGGCTGCCTGTCAGGCTGACAGTCAACGTGGCTGCCTGTCAGGCTGACAGTCAACGTGGCTGCCTGTCAGGCTGACAGTCAACGTGGCTGCCTGTCAGGCTGACAGTCAACGTGGCTGCCTGTCAGGCTGACAGTCAACGTGGCAGGCTGACAGTCAACGTGGCAGGCTGACAGTCAACGTGGCAGGCTGACAGTCAATGTGGCTGGCTGTCAGTCTGTCTTTGTGGCTGTATGTCTGTCATTCAGTCTATGTAGTTGTCTGTCTGTCTTTGTGGCTGGATGTCTGTCATTC